AGTCCAGAAAACAGCCTCTGATCTCTGAACAGAAACACATTTTATCAGAACGATTTAAAATAATTTAAGTTCTTGTGGAAGCTCATTGGTAGAATTCTCTTATGAGAGAAAGAAGGCCGACGATTCACATCATTCCGTTATCACCCGGAGGGGGGAAACGTTTATTTACAAAACCGAATTCATACAGCTGTCTTAAACACTTCATACATTCAGCGCTATGTCCTCACATCTGTAATTTTCCCCCACCTTCAATCCATTGTGGGCGGCCTTTTATAGGCTCCACAACGCACTGTGTGGATGCACGTGCACGACTGGACGCTCTTCCTGGAAATCTCTTAGCTCATGACCTGATTGCGTGCGAGTCAGCCAGTAAGAACCCTGTTTTTGCCAAGATTCGTACGTGACTCCCAGCTTGTAGACTCCCTGTTTACATGTTGCAATCTCTGTGTTGCTAAGTGAGCATAAGGTCAGAAACAGGACTACATAACGCAGGACAACTGCTTCCTTGTTTGGCAAGCCAGCCAGCATTAGAGACTTTATTTATTGCTAAGACTCATACTTGAACTTCAAGATGTACTGTTTTGTTGCTAAGTAAGTATAGGGCCATGTTGTAGGATACATTCTGATTCTGATTTCTGATATAAGACAATAAAACTGCTACTACATTCTTTAACAAAAATAAGAAAAAAAACAATTTGTTCCAACAGCAGATATCCTGTAAAAATGTAACAATCAATAAAACTTTTTTTTTTCCCAGATTGATTTTTTCTCTTTTCATTGATTATTACAATAACTATTAAACTTGTAGCTCATTATTTTAGATCATCAACTTCCCCAACTTTCACAAATTGAAGAGTTTAAGGTACAAGAGAAAGATTAAATAGTTTTCAATAAAACTGAACTGACGGGTTGATGGATTAAGATATCTGCCTAAATAAATAATTTATCAATAAAATTAGCTTTAGATTATTAAGTAAAATATCAAGCAATAACATCATGGAATAATAGCAATTAAATAAATAGAGACCACTAAGGGTAAATTCTGGCACTGGGTGTAACACAAAAATTCAGTAAACTAAAAGATGATGTCAGTAGAAAAATATAGTTTATTTCACAATTAGCAGGGGTCACAAAATACAAGAGATAACAAAACAGGGAAGCCTATTAAGCCTCTGTAAGCCCTTTAAGCCTCAGGGTCTTCAAACAACCCCCCCCCCCCCCCCATGAACAAACAGAACAAACTCCTGCTAATTGATGTCAGGACCACACCCCTTCGAAGCCTGTCATCCTTCAAGACGCTCATGTTGCTGCTCAGCTGGTCCTTCAGGTCTCTGAATAGGGTGTGTAATATTGGTTGGGCTAAAAAGGTATATTTGCTGTTCTCTGAGCCCAAATGCAAGCCTGGTTAAAAGCCCTAGAATGAAACAATGTGTTTTTCTTTCTTTTATGGTATGCTCAAGAATATTTAGGTGAGCTGTGCGCCGATTGGTTGGTTTACAACGAGCAAAGCTGCTGATCAAAGACGCATCATAGCAACAAGCACTCACTGACTGAAACATCAGATTGTTGATATGGTAGGGTGACCAGAAGGCCTCTTTTTCCCGGACATGTCCTACTATTCATACCTAAAAAATGTCCGGGGGCAATTTCAAAATCGTCCGGGATTTTGGTCGACTACAGTGCAGCCGTAGTCGAAACACACCGGGCATTCAAACCGAGCCGTCAGCTCCGGGGCTGGTCTGGGAACCCCGGTGGTCAGAGGGGGACAGAGAGCCAGCGGGGCACGGATTGAACGAACCTGACCCGGTGACGGTAGCCTGGACACTGGCGGCCCTGTGCTTCCCCCCCGCCTGCCTTTCTGGCCCCCAGCCCCCCTCCTCCAGCTGAGGACGGGCGGCTCATGGCTCTCTGCTGAGGTCCGGTCCAGTCAGCGATCCAGCAGTTGACCCTTTTTATGACTGTGAATTACATCTACCTCTATTCATGTTCCTGGGCCGTGAACCAGTGGGCTGGTCTGTATGTAAATTTTGGGCTGTGACAAAAGTACAGGCCAGAACCAAATAAGGCAACATCTCAGAGTTCACGTCAAGTTGAGGCTTCGTTTGGATTCGCCCAATTTATGATGGAAGTTTAGAATTGGGAGCTTTACAGAGAAAGTAGATGTTGATGGGGTTTGAACTTCTCTGTACGTCCATTTCACCCTCTAAACTATCGTTATCTATCTATGACAATGAAAACTTGGTTTTCATTCTATGACTCTATGAGACTAAAGAGAGAAACTGACATCTCTTATACATGTTATTTTAGGAATGTTAAAATAGTTGGTGTCCTAGATACCATACGTGTTAAAACTTAGTAGCATTCATTTTGGTAACTAATAAAAAAATAGGGAAGTAGATTGTTAATAAAGCCTCCTCATCTTTTAAACAGGAAGTTCTTTTTTATCTGAAGGTGTGAAAAAAGAAGGCGCTGCACACATTTTCAGTCTGAGAGGTCTGCAGAGGGAAGACGGTGAGTTGGTGGTGAGTCCAGATAAGTTTCTTTCAAATATACACTTAAAAAACAATGGAGGAGATGTTAAAATGATCTGGTCTTTAAAGTTAAACTGCTGTTTAAACTGCTGTTTCTTTTATTGCACTGATGGATTTTGAACCGCTT